ATCCCCTCTGAGCTTAAGCCTTGCTTTAGGCACTGTCAGGAGCAGCCAGTCAGCTGACCTGAGAGATCGGCTCGGAGTGTAGGGGTGCAGCAGCGCAAAGAGGTAAAGTGGGGCAAGGCGATTCAAGGCTTTAAAAGTAAACAAAACCATTTTAAAATTAATCTTATCTTATCTCTGAGTCTAAGCCTTGCCTTTGTCTTGTTCTTCGGTAGGATGCCCTCCTGATCCACTGGATAAGCCTGGTCCTCTACCCCATTGGAAGGAATAATTCGAGTCACACCGAGCAAGTGGAAACCTACACCAGATATGTTCAAGCCCGGTGAAACTCTGTTCCATTGCTCCTCTGGACCCAATGCAAGTCTGCCTGTCCGCCCTCCAACAAGTTTATTCATCTCTGAATTAAACCCCCCACAAACTGGACCCTAGATAAACCAAGAATCTCCCTAACATGAGTCTTCTTCAGCTATTCACCAGCCTCAGTTATTTTCCCTATGGACCTTGAACTGATCTTTGTGATCTCTCCTCACAGTTTCCGGTTCCGGTTCACCAGACTGCTAAAGTTCCACTGCGATAACCCTGCATATAACCTCTCTCTGTTTTTTTGTCAACCTCTCAATAAACCTGTTAACTTTCCCCCTGGCTCTCTGAGGGAATCTCTGCATGTGGGTGAGATCTTTAAAACCCATCATGACATCCTGTACACAAAGATGGAGAAACGCAGAACCTTAGTCTCAGCAGCTGCTAGACTCTTAAACCACCCTAATTCACACACAATAACTTGTTTACATTCCTGATATTAATTGCAGCTTTCCATACTCTTGGACTTTGTTGTTTTAAGCACATCTTTATGCAAATTAATTTCCTCTTTTTATTATTTAGGTGAAACATCTAGATAATTATGCAGTTGCTGTTTCTAATGTACTAATAATTCTTTTAATTATAGTTCTTTCTTGTAACATTTGACTTTCTGTGGAGGGTCATGATTAAATTTTACTGAGCCTTTGGACACAAATTTATCCACCGAGGAACGATAAATATTTTTCTGTTCCTTTGCGCTCAAAGTAATTTAAAGTTCTCCAGATCCCATCAGATCCCAACAACGCAAATATAATTTCTTCTTTGCTTTAAACTTCTAGAGCATGTTCCAGGAGTGTTAGCTGATTTCCTGACTCTGACAAGTTTTTGCCATTGGACTTTCAAGTCTTATTTTGTCCGCTAAATGACCTTGGACCTGTCTCCTGACCTCGGCTTGGTTCTCCTTTGGTATCTTTTCGGCTCTCTGATCTGGCCTGGAAACCTGCTTCTGCTACGACTCTGGTTTTGGATCCTAAACATTGATACTTCTTGTTTGCGTCGGCTGGTTTCTGGTCATCAGCCTGCTCAGCTTCTCTCCTGGAACTCTGGGGGCGGCTCCCGCCTCATGCTGTAGAGAAACAATCCTTCTGGATTCAACTCCTTAACTCCTTCCTCTGGGCTCAGACTAAACTCAGAACCTGGTTAGTGACTTACGTGCTCGTTATTGTGGCCCGTTTGAGTTTCATAGTCACTATCCTGAGTTTCGACTCTTACAGAGGATCCAGTGAACCTGCCTCAGCTGTTTTGATAAAATTCTGATCTGTCTGCTTGAATTCTGGGTTCTACATTCTGAGCTTCTGACAAAATCTAAACAACCAAGCAGCAGTTAGATCCATCCTGCTTATTCATCCACCTCGAAAAGGGTCCAAAATGCCTTTTGAGAGACGTTAAACCACTGATGGAAGGAGGGAGGCTCATGTGGCACTGCCAGCCTCTTTCATCAGCCTGATGAATCAGTCATTTAATTTCCAACTAAAAGCCATCAGTTTGGTGAACCACTAATGCTTAAATAGCAGCCTGTACACCTCACCATGAAATACCTGTGAAGCCATTTCTGTTCCTCCCTCTTTTTTTTCAACTGTGCTACTCTTATTTTCAGTCAAGCAACTTGACATCTGACAGCTATTGGACAGAAGTTTAAACTTGACTTTAGGATTTTTTATTCACATTTTTTCCTTCAGGCTTTCATTGGAGTTATCTATCAATCTTAAACCTCTTCAGTTTAGTTTAAAGTTACCTTGATAATGTTGTTTTAATCGCCTAATGATTAGAATCAGAAAAGCTTGGAAAGCTTTCCACATCTCAGAATGATGAATAAAACTCAAGATGTCAGGAAAAAAAGGTCTTTATTTTTCATGATAAAAAATATTCACATTTAAAGCTGTACAGGATATAAAATAGTTAATGTGAAAATAAAGTGTAAGACTATATTAAAATAGCAGGAAACTGGCCATCATGGCTCATTTCTAGCAGCTCATCGTATTTACAGTGTTTTGTTGTGAA